ATACTTTCATAAGAAACCAAGAAAATGAGTCAAAATTAAATCCTAGAACTATCAAGTTTTCCAAATCCAGACTGATAATGGGGAACAAAATAAACTAAAATGTCCAAGACTTGGAGAGTTGTCTAGAGAGATATAAGAGTTCCAGCATCTCACTGGTTAGTTCATGGAGTCTATTTGCAGATGTGGGGCAAATGCCTGAGAGGAAGAAAGCAATGACTGGGCTTAATCTAAAAACTGAAGAATCCACAATCAACTAGTCCAGGTTAGTGATAACTACTTCTTTTGCCCAAAATTTAAGCAGATTGTCTTCATTTAACCAACTTAGTTTCACTAAAATAATTTTTAGAGTTAAGTTCTGTTCATTGGAAGTTAACTTTTCTCTCTAAAAATGAATTTGGACACAATGATATGAAAATATCAACAGAAAACACTGGCTGTAATGTTCCCAGACAAGACGCTGTTGAGAACTACAAAAGTTACTTTAACAGGACTGTGGTTAATGCTTATATCTCACTGAGTAGATTGATTCTGTAGACTTCTGTTTGTAGTTACTAGAAATTCTTTTCCCTTGTCATGACTTCCATGTCCCACACTGAAGTTAGAATTTGTGAATTAAATCTTTTAAGAGTGATTAACCACGTAAGTCACCATCTGTAGGAGCCATGGATACAGAAGAAACAACTCAAAGACTTAAGCTTTCCTGGAAGCTAAAGGTATCTTTCTTCACCTTTATTGAAAACTGAGAGATCATGATGCTGACTTCCGTGCCCAGAAAGTTTTGAAGAAAAATATGTGGTTATGTTTTTGGCAGGGACTGGGGAAAGAAGAAAAAGAGGGATAAAAAATAAAATATCTTATGAACTTTTGTAACAACATGTACTCACTCTTGATAATCCATGTGCAGATCATTCCAAAAAAAAAGACTAAATTCTCACATATATTCAATATTTCCTCCAGTTAGCAATGAAAACTTCAAGTTCATTTTAATTGATTAAACTTATGCCAAAAGGAAACATTGTATTATCTCAGGTAACCTTAACCTTTCTGTCTTATCAATAGGAAACTCAGGGAAACTTCATGATTCATTTAATTCCATTTGTAAAATGTGAGTAGGGTAATATACCTACTCCAGAGCATTATTCTATATGTGATGAAAGACCAAATAAACAGAAAATTCATTTCAGAAATATTGAGAAAATTTCACAGAACTTTGCACCACTTACATGTTGACATTCAAAGATGTGGAAAGAGTGAATATGAAAAGGTCATGCCGAGCCAGACACAACATTCGGGGCTGTTGAGTGAATGCTGCTCAATGAGCTGTCATAAAGGTTAATTCCTTGCCACTTGTCATCTGCAGCTCTGTCTGTGTGTGTGCATGTGCATTCATTTGACAGAATGGAATAACAGCTCACAGAGCACAGCTGGTGTACATACAGTAAAGCTTGGTTGGCACTTCCATATCTGATATGCAGTTGACTTTTAGAAGAATATTGTGTCCATATACATGTAAATATTCATGCCAATAGACAAATATAACTTTAAAATAACTGTTGTTGATGGAATTTGTCCCCCAAAGTGAAAGAAAGCTATCTGTGAGACTTTTAGAACTAGGAAGAAAGTCTAGAAGTCAACCGTAAGTCAACATTCATTATAACATCTTTCTCTTATTGCGGTGTTTGTAAGGT